CCCCTCCACATCACCTGAGAAGGTTTCAGAAAACACCACGGCCCAGGCCAGTGCCAGACCCTCGACCTCTGAACCCCTGGGAGGCAGCTGGGCAGCAGGAGGTTTTAAAAGCTGGTGATTCTCAGTGCTATGAGATGGGAGTGACTCAACCAAACCATCTTCCAGACAGCCTTGAGAGGGGCAGTTTATGGATACAGTGCAGTTCTCGCCCCATGTGATGCTGGTCCTCGGTGTCCCTGTTTCTCCACAGGCTGCTGGACCCAGTCCATGGCTGGCTGACCATGCAAAACCCACGTTCCTGAGCCCTCCACCTCTTAGCCTCCAGTGTGCCCTCCTTGGTGAGGTGGGACGAGGGTGATGCGGCCTCTGTCACCCGATCTGCCCACGTGCAAGGCTGACTGGGGCAACGTGAAAGCCAGGGGGCGTCTGGGGAAGGAGCAGGGGCGTGCGACCACAGAGCTGTGAGCGGGATGCGCTGTGGCCACCATCTGCCTTCTGTTCCTGGGGGAGTGTCCTCCCCCCGGCTGCTACTGCCTTTCTTATTCGTTGGTCCTGCGGTGGCAGCCCTCCTCTGGCCCTTATCCCCGAGGAGCATCCAAGGAGGTCAAAAAAGAGGAAATCAAACTGCAAGGAAGGGATCTGAAGGGGCCCAACTCTTCCCCAAGATGCACTGTCTACTCTGGACAGACTCCCCAGCCACGCCAGCGGGGAAGCCCTAACAAGGCATAACCGGGCTGAAGGCAAGGTGGCGCATCAGGAAAGGCAAGAGGGTTACTTACCGGATCCAGCTACCACTCACTGCCACTGAACTTTGTTTCCTCATTTGGAAAACAGGTGACAACGTCCACCCTGCAGGGTGGCTGTGAGGGTGAACCTCGCAGACACAAGGCAAGCTCCTCGCTCAGGGCCTGGCACCTTGGAGGCGCCTGGGAAGAGTCACTTTCCTTCCTGCCACCAAGTGTCCTCAGCCCATAAAGCCAAGGCTTCTCGGGGGTTGAGTGGGTTGTGGGAAGCGTGGGCTGCAGAAGGGAGGAAATAAAAGTCTCTTCTTAGTAGCCTGTCAACTCAAGAGTCCAACATTTAGGACAAAGGAAAGAAGCATGGCAGGAGGAGGTGCTGGATGGGATTCAGGTAAATCGTGTTACCTCCTTGGGAGCAGGGATTCGGGGTCACCGAGGGATGGGGGTGGGAGGAGGTAGCGGTACTTGTGGGGTCCACATCTCACTTATCTAGAAGGTCAGAGAAACTTTAACAAGATTAACTGCTGCTCGGGGCCTCTGCTCCTTGGAGCAAATTGAGTCTTGCTTTCTTTTTCTTTCCCTTCTTTCTCTGTCAAACTGGAGAGGTATGGTGGGGGAGGGCAGGTGGGGATGAGGGGCAGGGGTCTGGATCCTGCCTGGTATGCTATAAAGGCTAAAGGATGTGTCAATAAGCCCCCCTCACCCCCAGACTTGAAAGGGAACCCCAGTTGCCATGCCCCGAGTGCCTGGGTGGTGGGTCTGTGCAGGGTGGGAGGTGACGGTGTTTCTCGGACAGGTTTTCTCAGCAGGGTAGTGGGTAAGGCCTGGGAGTGGAGACGCCCAGGCTCAAATACTAGCTCCTGCCACTGGGGACCCCTCCCCTTGCTGCGTCTGTCTCCCTGTTGGGCCAAAGAGACAAGATCTGGCCTGGGGGGCCTCCGAGGACCCTTTTCACAACAGCCTTAAAGGACTCTTCAACCCTCAGACCATCCACCGTGGGTGGCCCGTTCAGAGACTCCTGCACAGAGGCGCTTTCTAACTTTAGCTTTGCTTTTGCCTGCATAAGCCTTTTCATTTTTATTAATACTCACACACATATATATGTGGGCTTCCCTGGTGGATCAGATGATAAAGAAGAATCTGCCTGCAACGTGAGAGACCCAGGTTCAATCCCTGGGTTGGGAAGATCCCCTGGAGGAGGGCATGGCAACCCACTCTGGTATTCTTGCCTGGGAAATCCCAAGGACAGAGGAGCCTGGCAGGCTACAGTCCATTGGGTAGCAAAGAGTTGGACACAACTGAGCAACTGGCGCGCTCACATACACACACATGTACAGATATGTGTGTATGTGTGTGTATATATATGTATATATATATACACACATATATATATATATTTCATCCCTCCCACTTCCCTTTTGGAAAAAATAAAAGGCATGTTTTCTGAGCTTCAGAAGCAAAGTGCTCCTTCAGTCTTCTCTGCCTCTCTGAGTGCCTGTCTGAACTGGTGTCAGTGAAGTTTGAACCGGGGTAGAAATAGCATCCCAGGCGGATCTGGGAGCACGGCCCGCCTCCCAGCAGCAGCAAGGCCTGCCTCTGCCAGACGACAGACCCGGTTAACAGCACCATAAAATTAGACCTTTACGAAACCCAATTGAATCCTGCAGCAAAGAGTGATGTAAGGCAGCCTGGCCTGACAGCGAGGCAGCAACCCTCTGCCTGAAATAGCAGTGAGGTCCCTGCTGGGAGATGCCTGCTCTCTCAAGATAGGTGACCAGGGATTCCTAGGAAAGTGGCGACGCCCCGCCAGAGAGTGCCAGCAGATGTCAGGTGGCCACGCGGGCACCCGAGGTCGCCGCAGAAGGACGTGGCTTGGCACCCTCGGCCAAATTGCCCACCTCAGCCAGCCCTGCCTCTCCCAGTCTGAACTGACACGGAGGAAGGAGCTGCAAAAGTGCTTCTGCAAAGAACCTCTGTTTGTTTGCGTTTTAATTCAAGGAGAAGCAGGTTCTTTTCAGTCTCACAGCCTGTACCGTGTGGAGGATACGCAGAGTGAGTCTTTTCTGGCTCAAGGCCAGGTGTTTACACACCGTCAAATCTGGCTCAGATTCAACTAGGGGAGGGGAAAAAAAATCCACCAGAATCCTCGGGAGGAAAGCTCTGAGCTTTCTGGGGCTACACCGCAGCCGTGACTTTTTTTTTTTTTTCTCTTTCTCGTTTTGAGAGGAATGTTATTTCCACACATAAAATGGACCAGGCATTTTATACAAGCAATAATAACCTAACGTCCCCCATCCAATTAAAGTATTTTACTGCACAATCTTTGTGTGAGAGAGTGAATGAGTGCTCAAGAGAGTGTGTGTGTGTCAAGAGGGGGCTCCTTGTCTGAATTACAGACATTTATAAAGCAGGCTCCCAAGGAATCTCAGGTGCTATATGTATTTGTTTGTTTGTTTTGAAGAAATGCATTTACTAAGAGAGTGTGTGTGTGTCAAGAGGGGGCTCCTTGTCTGAATTACAGACATTTATAAAGCAGGCTCCCGAGGAATCTCAGGTGCTATATGTATTTGTTTGTTTGTTTTGAAGAAATGCATTTACTACCTTTTCATTGATGATACCTCTATAACCCCGGGCTCTCCGCCCTGGAGGAGAAGGTTTCCAAACCCCTGTACCACAGGTATAGGCTAGGAAAAAATCAGATCTACTCATTAAAAAAAAAAAAACCTCCAAGTAGCAGGCTCTGTGTTTTTCCTGTGTTTCGAAAGAGAAGCAAACACACCACAGCCCTGAATTATAAGCATCAGCATTACAAGTACCGTCTCCTCTCCGCTACATTATAACCCCCTCTGGCTGACTGGGGCTTGGGGGCTAAAACTGAATGAGCTCAGTTTCCCTCTCCTTCCAGAGACGCAAAAAAAAAGAAAGAAAGAAAGAAAAGAAAGAAGAAGAAAAAAATAGCATGTGATGACGTCAGGCATGGGGGAAAGTCACTTTGTAGCTCTCCGTTTGGGGTTTGGTAGCCGGGAGAGCGGAGCTTTGCGGGTATGTGCTTACTTAGTACGCAGCCGAGTTTGGGTCCCCGAAACGGGCTTGATGTAAATAGGACAGAGTTAGCAACATTTGAGAAGGTCCACGACACGACAGAAAGAAGCCGCCGGACTGCCCGGAGAACTCAGAGCTCTCCCTTCTAAGAAAGTGTGTGCAAGGGGGTGGGATCGCAAAACGCCTCCAACACGTTTCCTGGCTGCAGCGATGGGGGAACCCCTACTCTGAGACGTCCGAGGACGGGGCAAGATTGTTTGTGCAGGGAGGGGAATCTCCCAGCCAGAAGAGGCAAAACTTTCCTCCTCTCCTCCAGCGCCGCCCCCCCTTTCCGCCCCCCAGTTTTATTAAAGGCATTGCCACAGATTCATTAAGAGGGGGAAAAATGGGTGCTGGAGGATTTCTAAGGTCTGCAACCCTCGCGAAGTGTCCGGTTTCACTATGGGTTTTGCTATGGAAAGGGGAGGGGAACCTAAATTCATTACGGGCTTGTAAAAGTCCCAAATGAGAAAAGCGCCCCGTTTCGCAGCCTAGTCCCGGGAAGACTGGCTGGGTGTGCATGCGGGAAGTCTCACCCCAGCTCCGAATGACAGGCAAGGGGCTTGGAAAGCGAGAACACGGGACGGCAGTGTGCGTGCGTGTCTGTGGGTGGCTGCGGGTAGGGGGTTAATCCCAGAGGCAGGCAGCAAGTACAGAGCAACTTTGGGGCACTTCAAGTACTTTTAAGTCCTGAGGATCACAACAACCTTGCAGGCTTTCAGGGTAACTGGGCTAAGTAAAGCGGGGGTGGGGGGTCATCTCCATTAAAAAGCCAAAGAAATCAATGGTCCCTAGCCTCTATTCACATGCATCCCAACTGGGTCATCCTCCCCTCCATCCCGAACAGAGACAGTCCATCTGACCATCCAAAACACGATTCATGTGCACAAGGCTCCCCGGGACCAGCCCTCACCAACTGCGGTCTGGGGTGGCCGGGAGCGCTCCCTGCATTCTTCCCGAGGGATTAGGCAGAGACACCTTCCGAGCGCGCCCATTCCTCAGATGGGGCAAAGTGAGGCTCGCAGCTCGTCCCGGAGCCTCTGAGCCGCCAGCTGAGCGGCGGCTCCTGCACAGACACACCCTCCAGCCCCCCGACCATCCCGTCACCCGCGCCCAGGCACCCGAGCGCCCCTGGGGCCGCGGGGCCGGTGCAGCACCCGCCCGGGCGTCCCCGCTTACCTGTGATCACCGCCGGAGAGCTCTGGCCCCCCTCTGCTCGCAGCCACACTTGCAGCGTGAACGCGTCCCGGGGCAGCTCGAGGTCGGCTCGCAGGCGCAGCTGCTCGCCTCGCCCGCTGAAATAGAGCGCCCGGCTCGGCGGGCTCGGCTCCTCCGCGGCGCCCCTTGCCTCCCGCTGCTGCCGCCGCCGGGGGACGCGCACGGCTTCCCAGGCACCGAAGCCACAGCCCCCTTCTCCCCCCACCCCAGTCCCCCCTCCCCTCCCTCCTTCTTCACAAAATGAAAGGAAAGAGGGGGGAAAAATCCCTCAGAAGATGAGTAAACAAGCGTATGCTAATCTGCTCCCGAGCGCTCCACCTTCCCAATTGAATGAGTCCTAGTTAAAACTGCGGGGATCATGACTAATCAATCAGTTTGGAGAGGCCGAGCTACCCAGCCGTCCTCCACCTTCCCGTTTGCCTCCTTCGCTCCGCTTCTCCACCCCCTCCTTTTTTTTTTTTTTAAGAAGACAATCTTAAAGTAACAATTTAATGAAATTCTGTACACACCCCCTTATGGTCCTCCCAGCTCTCCTCATTCCTGCTCAAAACACACATTCCTGTTTTTGTTTTGTTTTGCTTGCTTTTTTCCCCCCCTCCTTCACTCCCCCCCTCCCACCTTTTTATTTTTTATTTTTTTTTCCTCCTGGCGGGGAGAAAAATCTCTCTTCTCTCAGGATCCCCTTTGCACTTTGCTGGTCAACCTCATCCTTCTCTATAGCACATAAAGAGTCTTGAAACTTGATTCTCAGATTTGTTTTTTCCTTTTTTTTGGTAATGCTGTCTCTTTCTCCCTCTCTTTCGCTCTCCCTTCTCACCCTCATTCTCTTCTCTCCCTCCTTCCACTCCGCATCTCTCTCCCTCTCCCTCTTTCCCTTCTCCTGCCTGCCCTCTCCTTTTCCCTCTTGGGATCCCCTTAAAGTTATGCAGTGGTGAAGGTCTCCCCCCTCTTTTCCGAGTCCCGGTGCTTCTGGCTTCAGCTAGTCCAAATGTTGTCCCAAAGTCCTCAAGGAATCATCAGAAGCAACTAGGAAAGGCATTTGCTTTCCCGAAGCTGTAGACTCAGCACAACTAGGTCTCTGAATACTCCTGAATACTTTTAAATTTGTTAGAAATTTGTTAGAAATTATTTCAGCTTTATATAAAAAGTAAAATAAAACACCTATCATTTTGCCTTATTTTTTCCGTATAAGAAATTCAGATCCCTCTGACACTGTTCAAGTCACAGGTAAGGATCTGACCATTTGCTGCTTTGTAGATCTGTTTTGAACTGGGACATATATGTAATTTTTTTTTTTTCTTTTTTTTTCCCCCTCTTTGTAGAACTCAAAAGCTCCCCCTTATGGCAAAACAGTTGTTGTTTTTTTTTCCCCTTCCAAGTGTTAAATAAGTTAAAATGAGTTAGCAGCAGTAGATTACAAATTATTAGTTACTGAGTTGTTCAAACAGTACAGTGATAAAAACATGCTGTGTGAGGCTTGCATGTGGATAGTGAGCTGGAAGCCTGCGGTGGGATTAACTCAACTTCCCTCCCATGCCTCCTGTGCTCAGGGCTACCCTGGATCCTGCCTAAGAGCCGGGGTCATTCCTGCTTGCTTCGGGAGGGTGAACACTAGTGGAGAATATGTGCTGGTTGAAGCATGCGGATTTGTAGGATGAGCAAATGACTCAGACATCCCCCATAAAAGCCGGCATGTGGTGTGTAGGGATGATGGCCCCGTTCTGCAAACCAGAGATCCCAGATTCAGATCTTCTTGCTTTGGGAAGAACTTGTCATATAGTCTTAGGCTCAGAATGGATGAAATCAGCTTCTCCAGTTATAAAATGGAAATGGCATTATATCATAAATGTATTTCCAGAACCAACGCCATGGAGAAGGAATTTGCCTAGGCAAAACTTTCACTTTCTGCAACTCCAAGCAAAGTATGAAAGTCATGAAGTTGGCATTTAATAATGATACTAATAAGACCTACGTTGAACTCTGTATATTATATACTACAGAATCCCTCTCTTTTCTCAATAGAAATTGGAACCTAAATACTAATTCATTTCGATTACGGCTACTAGGCATTTGGAAATTATTCCTTCCAAGGGCTTCTAAGTCATTGCATACAATAGTTTTGAATATTCCTAGGCTTTTGGGACTTTGTCAGCTCTCCCACCAAAGCTCAAAATGTGGGGCTTATAATTCTAAGTCTCACTCGCTCCAACACGGGTCAGTGCCATGCCCTGAGCCAGGCGATCTGCTAACCCTCTATGTCTGCACTTTTAAAATGGGATATGTGTTTCACAAATGTGCTTTGAGGTTAAAGGACACTTTCAGGTATATAATATTTTGTAAGCTATAAAAATGCTATATAAACCCATTTATTCTACTGTAATTGTCAAGGACAAAGTGCTCTTTAGGTTCTTAAAGATAAACAAACATCTGGGAGGCCAAGTCACCATGCCTATCCTGTGACGGCGTGAGGGGAAGGGATAAAGAGATCCGAGTCTCATAGCTCTGTGAACTTCTGGAACTTAGCCCCTAAATGTGCTTAAAATATGTTTAAAAGACTTTTCATTGGCCTTTTCATGGAACATACATTTATTATTCTATCCCACCTGTCTTGGAAGCCACACATACTTTTATGGATGTATATATCTATGTACACATGTATATGTTTGTTTTTAATTGAGTGATTAGAACTGGATGAATTATAACCCTTGGTTCATGACCCACCCTTATCATTGGCCTATGCATGCCATTCTTATTTATTTACATGTAACAAATAATAGGTCAAGTACTACCATCCCTCTTTTACTCCATCCCTTGATCTCTCATGGATTTGGCCCATCTGCTTTTATCATTTATGGTCAAAGAGCAATCATCTAAGAGTTAGGAGACTTGAGTTCTGACTCTGTGTCAACTCTTTGACCTGTTTGCTCCTATGTAAAATTAAAAGTCAGGAGATTCCTAAGATCACTTCCAAATCTGAAGTGTAATGGAGTCCCCATATTTTTGGAACATGGCAGTAATTCCCATCTAAATACCCCATAGTTGGTCAATTCCCTCCTACCCTCCAAATAGCCCCTTGTTTCTGAGGATTTTCTTTCTAAAAACTACTTTGACAGAACAAAAAGACCTGTTCCTCCACTCTTAGGATATACTCCTTTAATATTTTATTTGGTAATAACTAGAAGCAGGGCATTTTGCCAGGCAGTTGTAAGGTGCGTGCTCAGTAAGTGTAAGGCGTTACTAGAATTGTTGCTGTTGTTCAGTCGCTAAGTAGTGTCCAAATCTGTGTGACCCGTGGACTGCAAGCCTGCCAGGCTCCCCAGTCCTTCACTATCTCCCCTAGTTTCCTCACACTCACTGATTCGATGTTTAGAGTCCTTTAGCAGAGGTAGGATGTGAATCCAGTTTCTTGCCCAAAGCTTACTTTCTAGTAAACCTCACTTGGGCAGCCCGTAAGCTTCAGCATCTCTTTACTGGAAGTCAGGAGGGCAGCCTGTGAGAGGTGTGCTAAAGTTGGGGAAGCGCTTGAATGCGTGTGTCTGGTTCAGAGGACTCATCTCAGAGTCACCCTCGTGGGTTCCTGCGGCCTTCAGCAAGTCACGTCATTTCTCTGATCTCAGGGACCCTTTCATGGAGCTGTCCTGAGGATGCTGTGCTATCTGGCGCATTGTGGAAGCCCAATCAACGAGTTCCCTGTCTTCTTTTCTGGGAATCTACATTTTACGGCTCGCTGGGCTTCTGTCGTCTTTCATCTACAGATTCAGCTCTCCCTCCTTCTTACTCCACACCAGGAGGGTTATTCTTATCTCAGAATTCCAAAGTAAGCATTGCCTGTCTGGCAGAATCCGGAACTTCATGAGATAGGATCCTGCTTTGTTCCTGGGGTCCTATTTATGTGTTTTGTTGGTTTGTTTGTTGACAAGACTGGAACCCATCTAGGCAAGGCTCTTCAAGGGCCAGTTCTATCACTATGCCCTTCCCTACCAGCCTGAAGGGCTCCCTCTCCTCTGGACTCTCAGAAAACTTCCTCTGAATTTCTCCGCGTATTTTCCCAAAGCCAACCATCAGGCTTAATTACATATCTGCTTGTCCCTGCTTTTCATGTGGGACAGAGTCTGTTGCCTTCGTATTTGTGTTTGCCCTAATGCCTGGTTCAGCACTTTGCATAAAATTTTAGCTGCTTGTTCAGAACATATATGTGTGTGGGTGTGTGTGTATGTGCGTGCGCGCATGGATGTATAGGCTTCCCAGGTGGTGGTAGTGGTGAAGAATCTGCCTGTCAATGCAGAAAACATAAGAAATGCAAGTTTGATCCCTGGGTTGAAAAGATCACTTGGAGAATGAAATAGCAAACCACTCCAGTATTCTTGCCTGGAAAAATCCACGGACAGAGGATCCTGGTGGGCTACAGTCCATAGGGTTGCAAGGAGTCGGACACAACTGAGCAACTTAGGACATGTTCATGCGCGCACACACACACATACACACACACACATATTTAGAGAGATGGACTTGTAAATCCATAAATTCACATATTTGTATAGATGTATGTATGCATTTTTGCTTCTCTATGCTTGTTTACTTTTTGCTATGATGCTAATCTGGTCGGTGCTATGAATATATCAGGCTCTTAATAAATGCACGATTTCTTTATTTTGCCAGTCTCCTCTTTCCCGGACAATGCATCTATGGATACACAGACAGAGGTACTGACGTTCACTGGCTGCTCAAGGGAGGTTTACTAGAAAGAATTCAGGCTTTGGGAAAGAAAGTGGATACACATCCTACCTTTGCTAAAGAATAATTCTAATCACGCCTTACATTTATTGACTATGCTCTATGTTCCAAGCAATGTTTAAATGCTTTTTAGAGGAACGATGCCATCTCATCCTCAGAACAAACCTACAGAGGAAGTCTAAAAATCATCCCATTTTACAGGAGGGAAAAAAAACAAATCCTGAACACATAGACTAAATCTGGACCTAGCACTCTGTGTTCTAGCTCTGGGGGCCAGGAAGAATCACTTAACCTTTTGAATCTCATTTTTCATTTTCACACATTGCATGGGGTTATCTGGGAGATGAAATGAGACGGTGGGGATGGGTATCATGTTGCGTAGTGATGAGTACACATGTCAGTGGGTGTTGCAGAAACATTAGCTTCTTTACTTCCTCCCATACAGTAGTTTAATTATA